CACTCCATCACTACACTCACTCCATCACTAGACTCAGTACATCACTACACTCACTCCATCACTACACTCACTCCATCACTACACTCACTCCATCACTACACTCATTCCATCATACACTCACTCTATCACTAGACTCACTACATCACTACACTCACTCCATCACTACACTCACTCCATCACTACACTCACTCCATCACTACACTCACTCCATCACTACACTCACTCCATCACTAGACTCACTACATCACTACACTCACTCCACTACACTCATTCCATCACTACACTCAGTCCATCACTATACTCACTCCATCACTACACTCACTCCATCACTACACTTACTACATCACTACACTTACTCCACTACACTCACTCCATCACTACACTCACTCCATCACTACACTTACTGTATCACTACACTCACTCCATCACTACACTTACTGTATCACTACACTCACTCCACTACACTCACTCCATCACTACACTTACTCCATCACTATACTTACTCCACTACACTCCATCATTACACTCACTCCATCACTGCACTCCATCACTACACTCCATCACTACACTCCATCATTACACTCACTCCATCACTACACTCACTCCACCAATACACTTCATCACTACACTCACTCCATCACTACACTCACTCCATCACTACACTTACTACATCACTACACTCACTCCATCACTACACTTACTACATCACTACACTTCATCACTACACTCACTCCATCACTACACTTACTACATCACTACACTTCATCACTACACTCACTCCATCACTACACTCACTCCATCACTACACTCACTCCATCACTACACTCACTCCATCACTACACTTACTACATCACTACACTTACTACATCACTTACACTCCATCATACACTCACTCCATCACTACACTCACTCCACCAATACACTTCATCACTACACTCACTACATCACTACACTTACTACATCACTACACTTACTACATCACTACACTCACTCCATCACTAGATTCACTCCATCACTACACTCACTCCATCACTACACTCACTCCATCACTACACTCACTCCATCTCTACACTCACTCCATCACTACACTCACTCCATCACTACACTCACTCCATCTCTACACTCACTCCATCACTATACTCACTCCATCCGTACACTCACTCCATCACTACACTCCATCACTACACTCATTCCATCACTACACTCACTCCATCACTACACTCACTCCATCACTACACTCAGTCCATCACTACACTCACTCCATCACTACACTCACTCCATCACTACACTCACTCCATCACTACACTCACTCCATCACTACACTCACTCCATCACTACACTTACTACATCACTACACTTACTCCACTACACTCACTCCATCACTACCTCACTCCACTACACTCACTCCATCACTACAATTACTCCATCACTACACTCACTCCATCTCTACACTCACTCCATCACTACACTCCATCACTACACTCACTCCATCACTTTCACTCCATCACTACACCACTCCATCACTACACTCCATCACTACACTCACTCCATCACTACACTCCATCACTACACTCACTCCATCTCTACACTCACTCCATCACTACACTCCATCACTACCTCACTCCATCACTACACTCCATCACTTTCACTCACTCCATCACTACACTCCACACTACATTCACTCCATCACTACACTTACTACATCACTACACTCACTCCATCACTACACTCACTCCATCACTACACTCACTCCATCACTGCACTCACTACATCACTACACTTACTACATCACTACACTCACTCCATCACTACACTCACTCCATCACTACACTCACTCCATCTCTACACTCACTCCATCACTACACTCACTCCATCACTACACTCACTCCATCTCTACACTCACTCCATCACTATACTCACTCCATCCGTACACTCACTCCATCACTACACTCCATCACTACACTCATTCCATCACTATACTCACTCCATCACTACACTCACCCATCACTACACTCAGTCCATCACTACACTTCACTCCATCACTACACTCACTCCATCACTACACTCACTCCATCACTACACTCACTCCATCACTACACTTACTACATCACTACACTTACTCCACTACACTCACTCCATCACACCACTCACTCCATCACTACACTTACTACATCACTACACTTACTATATCATACACTCACTCCACTCACTCACTCCATCACTACAATTACTCCATCACTACACTCACTCCATCACTACACTCCATCACTACACTCCATCATTACACTCACTCCATCACTACACTCCATCACTACACTCCATCAATTCACTCCATCACTACACTTTTCTACATCACTACACTCACTCCATCAATACACTCACTCCGTCACTACACTCCATCACTACACTCACTCCATCACTACACTCCATCACTACACTCACTCCATCACTACACTCCATCACTACATTCACTCCATCACTACACTTACTACGTCACTACACTCACTCCATCACTACATTCACTCCATCATTACACTCACTCCATCACTACATTTACTACATCACTACACTCACTCCATCACTACATTCACTCCATCACTACACTCACTCCATCACTACACTTACTACATCACTACACTCACTCCATCACTACATTCACTCCATCACTACATTCACTCCATCACTACACTCACTCCATCACTACACTCACTCCATCACTACACTCACTCCATCACTACACTCACTCCATCACTACACTCACTACATCACTACACTCACTCCATCACTACACTCACTCCATCACTACACTCACTCCATCTCTACACTCACTCCATCACTACACTCACTCCATCACTACTCTCACTCCATGTCTACACTCACTCCATCACTAACTCACTCCATCACTACACTCACTCCATCACTACACTCACTCCATCACTACATTCACTCCATCACTACACTCACTCCATCACTACACTCACTCCATCACTACACTCACTCCATCACTACATTCACTCCATCACTACATTCACTCCATCACTACACTCACTCCATCACTACACTCACTCCATCACTACACTCACTCCATCACTACACTTACTACATCACTACACTCACTCCATCACTACACTCACTCCATCACTACACTCACTCCATCACTACACTCACTCCATCACTACACTCCATCACTACACTTACTACATCACTACACTCACTCCATCACTACACTCACTCCATCACTACACTCACTCCATCACTACACTCACTCCATCACTACACTTACTACATCACTACACTCACTCCATCACTACACTCACTCCATCACTACACTCACTCCATCACTACACTCACTCCATCACTACACTCACTCCTTCACTACACTCACTCCATCACTACATTCACTCCATCACTACACTTACTCCATCACTACACTTACTCCAATCTATAACCACTATAATCAACCCATCACTACACACACACTCCATCACCACTAAACACACATTCCATCGCCACTGGGGTCAACACCACTGCTTCCCGGTCTGTGACGAGGCTTCATGGTGGATCAGGGCCTGATCAATCAGGCTGTTACTGCTGGCCGCATGTAAACGGATCTACAAACCACTGCCCAGCTGGTCAGGCACTGACTTCAAGTGCCTGTCCAGCACCTTCTTGAAGACAGCCAGGGGTCTACTGGTAATCCCCCTTATGTATGCTAAGAGGCAGTTGAACAGTCTTGCACCCCTGACACTTATTGTGCTGTCTCTCAATGTACTCATGGCACACCTGCTTTTCATTGGGGAAATGTTACATCTCCTGCCGAGTCTTTTGCTTTCATAGGGAGTGATTTTCGTGTGCAAGTTTTCTACTAATCCCTCTAGGATTTTCCATGTGTTTATTATCATGTATCTTTCTCGCCTGTATTCCAGGGAATGCAAATCAATGGACTTCAACCTCTCCCAGTAATTTAGGTGTTTTATCGTACTTATGTGTGCCGTGAAAGTTCTCTGTACATTCTCCAGGTCAGCAATTTCGCCTGTCTTGAAATCAGCAGTTAGTGTATAGCAGTAATCCTGCCTAGAGAGAACATGCAATTTGAAGAGAATCATCATGGGCTTGGCATCCCTAGTTTTGAAGGTTCTCATTATCCATCCCATAATTTTTCTAGCAGATGAGATAGATACATTGTTGTGGTCTTTGAACGTGAGATCCTCTGACATTATCACTCCCAGGTCCTTCACATTACTTTTCCGCTCTATTGTATGGTTAAAATTGGTTTTATACCTTGATACAGTTTTAATTTCCTGAAGTTTTCCATATCTGAGTAGTTGAAATTTACATCCACTGAACTTCATATTGTTTTTTGTGGCCCACTCCATCACTCCAAAACTACAATCACTCCATAACTACACTCATCTTCTACTCCATTCCTCCAACTATAACTCAGTCCTTATTTTCATTTCACATGTCCATTAAGGAAGGCTTAATTACTGTGTATAATAAAATAGGTTGTAATCAAATCATGTAATCAAATAGGTAGATAATAAAAATTAATCTGAAGCAACAAGATTGATTAGCTGGTTAATTGGGTTTACAGTTTGACAACACGAGCATCATTCAGGCTACAATTCACGTGAAAAGCACTGGGTCAGGATTATTTAACGACTAGCATTAGTTTATATTAAATTAAAATTGGATATTCACTGACACATGACCGTTTTCTTTTTTCTTTTTTTTTGAGGGGGGAGACATAAAAATATGTTAAAAGACAATAAATAATCCTCTTCTCTCTGAAATCACTTTTATAAATGCACTCGATTAATTTTTTTCAGTCTTCCATAAGGTTACTACTATTTTCCTTGTCCACAGCCCTGGTTCCACACCAAAACAAGGGTGCCTTTCCCCATCAAGTTTATTGTGCTGACAGCTGGCACGCTCCTCTCGTACTTATTCAACTTTCATCACAAATACAATATGAGGATCGTTGGCAAAATTCCAACAGG